ATTGTGGTGCTAAAAAAAAAAACAACAAAAACCCTCAAGTCCCTCTTTTCAGCAGTGTCAAGTCAGGATGAATTGGCCAGGAAAGCATGTTTATAGACTGTGTGAAGAACTTTGTCTTTGTGTGGGAACGCTGGTGACACTGGTATGGCTTGCCTGAATGAACTGCGATGACGCGGCTAATAAGGTGTCCTGCTGAGTGCTGCCGCAGCCTTTCTCAGACCTCCCACTTAATGCCATTCAGCTCCAGCTCAGTGTAGCTAATTTTTCCCATTCCCTCAATTCTTTAGGCCCCCCTTACAAACAGAAAAGTCAACTTTCACACCGAGGGGAAGATAAGTGCTTTAGGAAATAATCGTGTAAACAGAATGTTACCTTCTGACCTGATGCTGATACCTTGATCTGGGACAAAACCCAGCTGGCTATTGCATTAGACATGGCTATTAAAGGAATAATGCTGCTGATCCTCCTTACAAAGTGCCCTGAGAAATGGTTTAGCCAAATCACAGTGCCTCTTGTCACACTGAATCATGTTTAGCTGCTCTCTTCCATGACCAAACTGCTGATATTTAGATGCTCCCTTGTCTTCTTTCTAGTGGCAGTATGACTGGGGGAGAAGTATAAGAACAAGTGAAAGTCGGTGCTATTTCTGCTAGCCCTTTTATTTTCTCAATGAATTTCAGTGCTTTGAAACATACATACCATATTTTAAGGAGTACGTGGTGTGAAATGTCCACAGTTGTAAAGGCTGAGTACTTTAAAGTGGGAAAAGAAAACGACAAAAGGATTTCAGTGTTTCCAGTGACATGGAATTGTTCGTTTTAAGATCAGACTAACCTATTCCTTTTGATTTTCAATAACTGAGACTAAAATGAATAACTACATCAGACCTCCAGGAGCATCAGGGAGAAGAAGAATCTCTGCCTTTTAGTCACTTGAGTCTTGACAGGAATTTGGCATCCGGATCTCCTAAAAGAACTTAACCTTCACAATCCTTGTAGCAGATACTACCACTCGGACTTACAAGTCCACCATTTCACAGAAGTTATTTGACTATCCTGAATTCCAAGAGCAGATGTTCAGCACTTGCTTTTACTGTGGTGTTTTTTAAATTTCTCTTTAGGTTTGCCGCTTGCACAGGTCCATGCTCTGAGCTGGGTAATTTGGTCATTGCAGGCAGGCCAATTTGGCTCAGTCTAAAGCTGTTCAGCTTCATACTTAAAGGATTTCAGCATTTTCTTGTAATTCTCGTGATGCATCCAGAATAACAGAGGAGTTTTGTCAGAGGCCTTTGGGAAGATGTGTTAGAGGGCTGCCATGCTTAAAATCACTGAAATGTCTCAGGTAGTTTCCTAGCAGTCTGTTTGATAGGAGAGCAGGTGCATTTCCAGTGTAGACCAAGTAACTTCTTTTGTGGCTTTGTAAGTCACAGTTGTTGATAGTTAGTGTGAGACAACCTTTCATTATTAGACCAAAATAAGAATTAAGCGTATTTATTTTGCAGCAAACAAATCACAAGAGTAATTTAACATCAGTTTGCACCCTTACCCTTAATTTAGCACTTAAAAATATTGTGAACCATGGATGTAAGTATGTAAGTATGTAATGTAAGTATGTGACTTTAATGGTTGACCTTACTCAAAAGTTACTATTCTTTGGATATATATCCTTATACTGTTGTGTCATCTGTAAAAAGCTGCAGCCTATAATCTCTTAATGGCCCTGTATGGTCACAACCAGCAGCACAATTCGCTTGGGGCACCGGCGGTTTCCTTTGCTTTTTGGTACAGATTTCTGGAAGTGAAGTGCTTGTGCTTCCTCACAAATCATGGCATTTTTAGCCAAGAGCTAGCTATTTTGTGACAAAATTTTTAGAAGAGTTGTGCAGGAACGTGTGGATCTTTAAAGTCTGGTGAAGCTCTTCAGGAAAATCTGATAGTCAGCAAGTACAGGTTAAAAGAAATAGCATTAGGTCCTACCATTAAAAATATTAAATGAATGCTGGTGTTTGATTGGCCTTTTATACAGATTTATTGCTCTGCAAACTGATTCATGGCATCACTTGAAAAAGTATTATTTGATTCATGGTTAAAGCAAGGGTATTGTTACAGCAACCCACAGCACAGTAAAGATGCATGGATTTTGAAGCCTTCCTTCTTCATTTGCAAACACTACCTCTTGTTAAAAGAGTAAAGATGGTCTTTTGAGCTCTCATTTACTTGTATACTTAACCAGTGTTGTGTCTGTGGGATAGAATGCAGAAGTGAGGAATGGAGCATTTTTTTTTGTTACCCCAGCCCTAACACCTTTGTTGTGCAGACTTGGTCCTGGTGAGACTCTCAGTGTTTTACAGTACAGTGTACAGTTTCTATCCAAGTCTCTTTAATGCCAGATATTATTCCTGCAATGTTGCAGAAGAAGGAAATGTTGCTGAACTGTTCTGTATTGCTGTCTCCTTTGCCAACTTTGAGTCTGATTCTAAAAGCATAAATGAGAAGATTAGTTCTTGTGCCATCGATTCAGTGGAATTACAGGCGCCAATAAGTATTTCAGGGTGAACTATCGGAGTGCCACAGCAATGAAATAAGTCTAAATTTGGGAACTCTTAAACTAATAATAAGTCCCGGGTAGTAATAATAAGCCAGGGTAGTGTGTTACAAACATTTGTATTTAGCTGAGTCATTAAAGGCAAGTTTTTTTTTTTGTGAGATATCCCAGATCATTTAATAAGTACAGATTATTAATACATTTAGTACATTTAATTAGTACAGATTTAATAAGTACAGTATATGCCTTGTAGCGCTGATGTTAATTTTATTGTATGCCTATGTTTCATGACTTGTGAGAAGGAAAGATGTCAGAAGCCACTTAAAGCGTCATTCTTGAGAAGTAGCACTTGGACTATTTTATTTTAATGTGTCGTGAGACACTTCTTCTAAAATATCTGACAAGAGAAACTACAAGGGGAGCAGCTGGTTAAAATTAACCCCTTTAGAGCTGGTACTGATTTATATGCAAATCATGTTTAAATCCAGTATTGTGCAAGACTATGACAGAGTTTTAATTAATTGATCAGAAGCAGACTAATCAGCTGTTTTGTTCATCAGTAACTGAGTCTTTTCAAGTTAATCTGGTTAGGAGGTATTTTAACTGGCTATTTTTGGAACAGATTGTTTATTTGGAAAGTGCATCTTCTGCATAATGGACTCTCAGACGTCATCTTATAACATCTCTTTGTCTTAAGAGGACTTCTCCAGACCTTGGGGTCGTTCCTGCAGTATCTGTTTTTTTTTGGTCAGAATGCATGGCAATGGGCAAAACCAAAACTAAGTTCTGAACCAGGAAAGCTGGCAAAGCAAAGTCAGTTTTTCTTATGTGTCAGTTGCATATCCGATCTATCAATGATAGTGTTAGAAAACTGTGGTAATGTAAGCGGTTTAAATTTTAAGGGCACTAATCAAAATAATATCATGTAAAGTCAAGAGTGACAGTTTTTCTTGGTGCTGGATGGGGGCTGACAGTAGGCAGTATTTATTAGCAGTATCTGCAATAATTTGTCGGCTGAATGGAGGATTTGGAGATTTTTGTACCAGAGAAGTCTACGCAAGAGCTTTTGCTTCAGATGACCACTAGCTTAATTCCAATGCACGTCAATTTTTCAACAAGATATTGTTCCTTATGTTACAGATTATTGTGGACTAAAAATGTGAGATGTTTTTATAAGATGAAAAGTAGTATCTCATTGTAAACCTAATGGTGTATCTTTCTTTATAGCTGTAAAATATCTGAATGAATGTAATGCGTTAAAACATTTTACGCCTTTAAAAACAAAGGTCTCCTTGCTGGGCCAACTTGTTCCAGAAGGCTTTTTACTGTGCATTACTTTGCCCTCATTCACCTGTCCATATGGGCTCCTTCCTCTTGCTCAGCTGAGGCTTCTGTCACCATAGTACTTACCCATTTATATATATCCAGGATGTATACAATCTATTGCATACATTAATTCCCTTTATCTTATATATTGTGCATCTAGTGTAGCATTCAGGTTTTTTTGTGAGTTTTGACTGTGTATTTTATTTATAGCTGAAACATTTACATTATTTTATACCTTCCTCAGTTGACAGATCATTAATTACATTAATTTCCTTTTTGAAATTAACTATGAGTCCATGGATTTCAGGATCTCAGGATCTCTGGAACCATGTAAAATTGCACAGTGTTGGGAGTACCAAGCAATTGTCATTAGTAACAGATTAACAACACAGCGACGACTTTTAATAATGCAGGATGAACAGTAATGCCTTACCTCCTTACTGTGTACTGAGCAGACGTTTCAGAAAAGAGTTAATCTCTCTTCTGCATCTGGGAAGATCACCTTCTAGGTGTTAGCTATAATCTCAGTAAAAATCTGCTTTCGGCATAAGGGAGAGCTGTATTTTAGAGAATCCTAACTGAGCCAGGAAAACCTTGTCATTCAGTGCATATCAGCTGTGATAAATACTGGTTGGCACTAATGTATCACTTTTCCTACAGTCCACAGAGCCCTAACCAATACTGCTAAACATTGTGATCACAGTTTTACAGATGTGTAAACACAACACAGAATAGAGTGTAGGTGCATTGTGAACTTGTCACTAATTTGGGGTTCCTAAATCTTAGTTTCCACACCCAAAGCACATATTCTTAACTTTGGATGCCTTCTGATGCCCAAGTGCTGGTTTTGTGTTGTTTGTACTAACTACTGCGAACTTGCTTTCCTCCAGATTGCTCTTTTAACTTGGCAGGGGAAATCAAATGCATTATTTTACTGGGGTTGAAGACAGAATTGCCTGAGCAAGGATAACCAGTCCAAAAACATGGTTAACATATTGGGAAGATTGTTCCAATACAAACTGATAGTTCTGATCATCCCAATAATTATTTCTGGGGTAGTGCTTAGAAGATATGTGTATTTGTACGTGTTCACATATGTATCACTTAATGACAGTTTTGTTTTTTTCCAGAATTATAGATCAGCGGTTTGAGAAAGTTTCTTATTTCGTCTTTGGAGATTTCAACTTTAGACTGGATGCCAAAGCAGTAGTAGAGGTAGGACTTTGATTTTACATCTGTTGCAGACCCAAACAGTTTTTATTTCTCAGACATTTTTTTCCTTTGGAGAAACTAAAAGCAACTTAATGAGCTGATCTTAAGGTTGAAATTGATCTTGGCTAAGAATATTTTCAGCCTGATCATCTGACAGGTAAATAAAAATTACTGTGCTGAGAATCTGATGGAGCAATTAAGAAAAACACAACTGACAGGCAGCGTTTTTTCTAAATAGTGGTGTGTAAAGTGATTATCACGTGCAGAAGGAGCTGTAAACGTGAATAGACTAGGGGGTGCACACTATCTGTTCGTGATCCTGTGAAAAGAAAGGGGAAAACATGAGTACCAACCTGAGCTGAGAATTCAAATCTTGACAGTGCATAGAGGAGTACCTTTCTTTGGGTGGTGTGTTTGAGCTTCAGCAACAGACACCGCATTTCTATAGTATGCTCGTGACTTCTATCACTTGTTGTATCTCACAGTGAATTTCATTGTTTTTTACTATAATTGTCAGGGAAAAATAAGAGAAATTTCCTATATTTCTGTGGTAGCATTCGTCTTGAAAAACACGAGAAGACATTTGTGTTAACCTTTGTGACAGTAACATCTGAGTTGCAAGAGCGACTGGAAAAATTGTATCAAGCCAAAGAAAATAGAGTAAGCCTTTTTCATCATGAGTTGAGATTACTTTGACTTCACTGCTAGAGCACATCTCCAGGTAGCACGGGGTCAGAAATAATATCCAGGTTGAACACCATGGATTTAATCTCATGGTTTTCCCACTTTTAATTTTCGGAGATGCTGTAGTGTCTTTTTTGTGTCCTTGGATTTAGGCATGTATCTTCTAAACCAGAAGCTTTTATTTTGTAAATCAAGCAGCAGTAGGTAAGTAAGTAGCCTGTGTGTCAAAGGCTGGATGCTTCTCATACAGGTGCAATACACTTCTATACATGATGGATGATCAGTCCTTCATCTGTTGGAAAATATAAGCTTGACATTATAGCACAGTGTATGTAGCTAATAACTTCCTTCTCAGAATCCTTTATACATTGTAGTCATTTAACCAACAAACTTAAAGCATAATTGATCTGGATTTCCAGTCAGTGATTCAGACTGTTCAGCTTCAGATGGTAAGCATGTGATAAGAACTAAATCCTGTTCTCTCACACTGCTGTTACTATAGTTGTCGTCCATGTTTATAGGCTGCTGGTTTTTGAAATGTCTGTTTCTTGATTCAGTAGTAGTGCAGTAATGTTACTGAGAATGTGTCTGTCTCAGAGAACACCTCTATTGATCATGATCCAGCAGAATTCTTGAACACCCAATATTGACGAAGAGCACTACAAGGTTTTCCTAACTTACTGCCTAGACTGAAGCTGCAGAGAACACTGTCTTTATTACTGATAGGATAAGACTGCTACATTTGTACTTGTGAGTTTCAAAGTAATCTGCTCCTGACAGATAGCACCAGTAACCACCAATGATGCATACTGAGTAAGTTGCACAACTGGTGCTAAGAGTACAGGTTTAGAACCCTGGCACAGCACTTTTCATCTTACGAACACTGTGCCAATGTCAACTGAAGATAGACAAGCATACAAGCTTATATAAAAGGTGTAATTTGAAAATGAATCAAACTTATCCATCTTTCCTAGGTAAAGTTCATGCATGTATGTGTTTATAAACTGTTAGAATAAGACATATTTTCTGTTGCTTTATTTGATAAGTAGCATATGTGTAATTAAACAGAACTTGACCAACATCACAGTGTGCTGAACCCCTGGACACTCTAAGATGCTGCAAGCAATAGATGTGTTATGGAAATGTAGGCATACACAAAACACTAAGAATGAAATATGTTTTTAAAGGATTTCTCCCTTAAGCCACTGTGAGGGAGAATCTGAGAACTGTAGAGTCCTGGCATAGTGTGCTAAATCTGATGCTAAAAGTGTTACACTTACTAATTCACAATTAATAGATGATAAATCATTCATATATAATTTCATAATTTTTTTAATGGGAACCTTAATCTAAAGTCGTATTGATTTCCTTGCCAGGAAAATCTGCTTTAATGTTGTTGGGGTAATCCAAGAAAGATCAATAAAGCAGGTAAAGGCTTTTGGCAATTCTGAGATGCATGTACGCGTTAACAAGTGTGTTGTCCAGAGGGATAAACTGGCAAGAGGGAAAAAGGACATCAGTAGCATAAAGGGCATGGCAAATACAATTGTTTTACAGTTGATTTGAATTATAGCTTAAGCATAATTTGTAGCTTGGTGTGATGATGTTCAGAGAAGTACCTCCAGCTCAGCCTATTAAGACATTTCATTCTGAAGCAAGTTAGTGATAGGGTTCCATTTTAATCATGTTATCTACGGACAGTGTATGATTAAAAATAAAGGCAGTGTGAAAGGACCCAGAATCACAAAAGATTTTTTATCCAGTGGTCTCAGGCACTCATGTGCTGTGGCTGTGTGCCAGGCATTGGTAGTGCTGGAGTTTCTCCACCAGGTCTTGGTGAGTGGTGTGCCATGTTGGCTTTGGGCCACAACGTGGGAAACTGGTGGAATGGTGTCCTGCCATGTGATGAGATCAGAATTGTGAGGAATCAGCTGACTCCATTGAATCTGATGGGATTCATCCCATACTGAAGAATTTTGCAGATGTTATAGTTGAACCTTTCTCAACAGTTTGCAAGAGGTCTTGGGAATCTGGCATGGCTCCCACTGACTGGAAACGAGTCAACATTGTCCCAGTTTACAAGAAGGGCACAAAAGAAGACCCTAGGAATTGCAGATCTGAGAAATAGAGATCTGTAAGTTTAATTTCAGTACCTGGAAAATTCCGAAGATTTTCTTGTGAAAAGTGTGTGAAAGACACACAAAGCATAACACAAGCATCAGGCCCAGCCGGCATGGGTTCGTAAAAAGGAAGTCAACTTCCTGAGCAGGGGCAGCGGAAGGGGAGGCAGTCATCTGTTCTCCCTCATATCTGGTGACAAGATGCTTGGGAATGGCTCAGGGCCGTACACTGGACATTGGGAAAAATTACTTTGAAGGGTGGTCAGGCACTGGAATAGGCTTTCTAGCAAGATGACTTATGCCCCATTCCTGTCAGTGCTCAGGAGACATTTGGACTGTGTCCTTAATGATACATTTTAACATTGGGTAAGCCCCAGAGTAGTCTTGACAGTTGGACTTTGATGCTGGGGGGAGTTCCCTTCCTGTTAAAGCTATTCTATTCTGCTCCACTAAATAAGAGTTTTCCATTCCACTCTACTAAAATCTCCTGAGGCACACTTGGTGTCATCCACTCCTCAGGCAGGCTAAAGCCTGTAGCTGCTGCTTCCATGACAATAAACATATGAGAGCAGAAATACTACAAAATTTTAGTTGCAGTAGCTGTAGTAATGTGAAAAGCCTTTGTAGTTTTTCTTGTAGCTAAATCCTTGTCAAATCACTGCTCTGCATTGAATTTTTATAATCCTACACTTGCAAAATTGATCGAGTTTTAGTGTTGTGCTGACGTTTAAATTCAAATATACCCCTATTTAATTTTTTGTACATCGTCGACTTTTTGGATGAGATGGAGCATTCTCATTATTTGCCTGCTGCTTACAGGTGTTCTCCGGCACTTCTCTTACCAGTTGTGTTTACAACATGCACAAAATTACTGTAAATGTTTATTTCTGACCGAATTCTAATATTGACCTATCTGCAGTGTCTCTAGTGGGGATATTGTCGCAGTATTTCATATAAGCATTAATTTGTTATGTGTCTGTATGTAGGTGGTGGTTCCCCTGTAATTGTTCTGGAAATGGTGCTCTCTGTAATATGGGTAGGTCACAGTAAGCTTCATGCTTATAGAAACGCATTGCAAATTTATGGTATTGTGTGTGACAAAGGTAGTTTTCCTATTGTTGGAAAACTGTCTGTTCTAATTAAAAGATTTGATGAGGCTTGACGGAAATCTGTAGCAGCACAAGGTGTGCTGGGGGCTGAAGTTGACTAATAGTCTAGAAATGTAGAAGTCATTATAAGTTGGTGTTCTGGCTCTTCAAAGAGTAATATGGTAACTGTTTGAAGATTCTGAAGTTAATCAAGATTGTTTGGCTATCAAATTAATAAAATTAGGATACTACAATCTCAAAAGCGTAAGGATAAGAAGGGAACTTAAAGTTTGTGGAGAGAGAACTCAGGGATTTTATTACAGAGAACTGAAGAGAGTAGATTCCATTTGTTTGATAGGAGAAATAAAAAGAAATTAAGTTAGTATGAGAGAATGAAACGTCTCACCAAAGGCAGTAAGTTAGTTCTCTTCCGTCACTCTCTGAGGCCAACCAGCAGCCCATCAGCTGCTGTGAGCACTGCAGGCAGCAATGCGTCCCACTGCAATGGGTGCCAGGCCACTCGAATCTCTGCTTTTAGCATTTTCGTGTATATACATATTTTTTGAATTGAAAGAGCTGATGAGCATCTAATATTTTCTGTCAGCTCTAGAAACACTAATCTTAGTGTGGAAGCAAAATTAGTCCCACGCATCTCTCCTTGTCTCTTAATTCACATGGATCTATTGAAGTGCAAGTGGGAAAGTCGTGACCTCAGTGGTAAATCTGTGGGGCTGCCTTACACACTGGCAGCCCATGCAGGCTGTCATTTTCTGTCTTTAACATGCAGAGGTGCCCTTTACCCTTTGTGTGTTAGAGCAGGTGTTTATAAAGGAGGGAGCTACATTCTTACTAGCCTGGCCACTTTGCTGGAACTGGGTGGTTTATGCAGAATATCAGAGAAAGGAGTTGTCTCCTTTTGGGGACATCAGCCAAGAGCATCACAGCACACAGCCTTGGTCAGGGCTGTTAGTAGAGACAGTAATTCCTTCTGCTCTGTATTATATGGTGAGAGGCTGCTTACCAGCGTTGCTTCATTTAAATCACCCTTCGAATGATAGATGGGTCTCCCCATAGCAAAAGTATTTTTGCTGTCAGCTGGCTGCAGGAACAG